TACAGATGCATGTCTGATACTGTAAAATAAGCTGCCCAAGCCACACACACTTACATCTGGATTCATTCTGTTTTGTTTAGTGCTATTTCCACAATGCTTGGGATAGTCTTGTAAAAAAAATCTGAGTCAAAATTTAGAGTAAAATTTGGGGGATGTTTAATTGACTTGAGAGGAGAATTCAAGTCTTTTGTCACAGAGTTCATTGTTCTTTGCAGAACAAGAATAGAAGCATTTAAGTTGTCTTATGTCTCCTAGTCTTAATTAGAGGAATAGAATACAGTGACATTTTGGTAGATCTGAATGTGGAAAAACACATAAAAATATGATGCTTAGTCATTGTTGAGGTTTGACTTTATAAAATGCCCCACCACTAGTCTACATGTCTAAAAAGGAAAAATAACAAGAATGCTGTCTGTAGGACTAACTGCAACTTCTTGAATTAACTTATTAGGAAAAAACATTTTTCCCTATAGCATTTAGTATAACATAAGAAAACATCCATTTTGGATTAAATGTTTACACAGAAAAAGAATTTATACTAATGCTTATCATAGAGTGTAATGAACCAGACAGGTGTTGGTAGATCCCTATAAAAGTGGTCACAAATTAAAGTAACATAAATTGGAAGTTCTCTTGTCAATAATGTGCTAGATTTCTTCTATAATATGAAAATCTACCCTCTAAGTTATAGATCACTTTGTTCTTTGAAAGGATTTTAATATAAAAATGGAGTGGCAATCTGCATCATTGGTCATGTCATCAATAATAAAATATTTAGAGAGAATGTTATTAAATGTCACAAAAAACATTGACTATAATATGTGATTTGACATAATTGAAAATGCTTATTCAAAATTGTGTTATAAAATCATACATCTGTATAACAAATATGCTAATTGGAAACAATATCTTGTACATTAGGTAAAATAATTTTTAAATACCACATCTTAAATTATAACCATGTACAAATCAAAACTGTAATATTTGCCTCTTAATTTAGTCACCAGATCAATACAGAGATTAGCTTGTTGAATAATATATTGTAACAATACCTAGAAGGTAAACTCTCATGGATGAGTGCTCAGAATCATTCAGAACGATTTTTAAAGCAGCTTTAAAACAACCTACTTCAAAATAAAGATATTAAATGCCAGCTTCTAACTAGCAAAAATGCTTATGGCTAAGATAGAAATGAGATTCTTCACAGAAATGCTGACACAGCCCTGGCTGTCACCTACAGAGTGTACAGCTATAATTCTTTTTTTTTTCAAATATTACCCAGCAACACCTCAGGTACAGGAGTTTATAGAATAGATAAACAGTTATGGGGCAATTCTGGAGCTTTCATAAAATCACAGACCTATGACATATTTATATTCATCTTTGAATACTACCATTAAGTAGCTAAATCATCATGGTATATTACTTAGCTACTTAATATATAAAAGTTAAATTGTACACTATAAAATTCATGTTGACACATCATATTGTTCATGACAAAAGCAGGGTTTCTTAATTCATGTGATTGTGAGAGTTATACATTTTAAGCTACCATGTATAGCCTGAACATTTACCAGACCAAAAAAAAAAATGAAAGGCAGAAAATCGAGAGAACACAGAAAACAATGATTAAGAAAGACCTTCATTTCTGTTTGAAAATCTGTTTGACAATATGTTAACTTCCCAAGAGGAGCCAGTTTTGTATGTGAAGAATATTTAAACCTAGATCAGTAGCACAATCTCAGAACAGGCCAGAGGGTACTGGAGTCCAAGGGTCATTATTAAAAGCTCTTAGCTAACTATGTTCATAGGAGAGTTGGTCTGAAAGCCCAGGTCACTTTAAATCTCAGGCATGATGTGATTCTTTTCTTCTGCACTGTCATCAGGACAACAGATGACTATTGATCCCACACTGGGAAATGCTGTTTTGATGTTTATTGATCAAGACAGTACGAGGGAAACTGTGATTGATAAATGGAAGACAGTGATGAGTTATCACTTCTGGATCCATACAAAAGAGTGGGTGAGTAAGAAAACCACTCTGAATAACTGTTAAAATTATAAATTCATCAAAGCAAGCAAAAATACACTTTGTAACTGTGAGTGAGATGATATTACACAGTGAGGATGAGTATTAGCCATCTATACAACTCGGGGTTGCTTAGTTATAATGTCATTTACACAAAACCAATTCATAAAAATACATACTTTTATAACACTGGTTGATTTTACCTTCAATCCAACTTTATTATTATTCAAATGTAATGTGTTTACCAGCCTGCATTTTACTGAAAATTAAAAATCAGCCTTATTATGAGTCACAAGTTATCTAGCAATAACTTAAGATATCTGGTGAAGTCATGTCATGAAACAGCATTCGTTTTGTTATACTATTAATTCCATATGCTAATTGTCTTCATGAAGTGACAGAAAAGAAATAGTGTACCGAATAACAATACTAAGAAAAGAATACCTCTAAAATGAGTATTCAAATTGTGCACATGCCTAGTAATCCCATTAATTAGGCTAAAAGGTTCGAGTATAGGCCATGGAAACTGTGCAAAGTTGGGGGTAGCATACTCACAGTTTTCATATGCTGCCTGTAAGTAACATTCATCAGCTCAACTTATTTTCTCCTTAAATTTTTTCATAAAATAAATGAAAATAAATTCTCTAGATACTTGAGAAATATTGTCATTGAAACTTATTTAAACCCTACTTCCTGTGACCTTTTCAGATTATGCCCAAAGAAATTCTATATTAACTTAAATATTTTTAAAGAATATTCTTTAGGCTGCCAGTGCAGATGAAAAATTGAAATCTAATTCTAACTGCAAGTCTACTCCTCCCCACAACAAATTTTACATATTTCCTTATACATTTTTATATCATTCATTTCCATATGAATGTATGTCTGACAGACATGTGGCACACATCTTGCATCCTACATAGGGTGTGGCTTTTGAGTACACATGGTTTCTACAAAATAAAGTCTACTTTTCAAGTCTAGTTAACCTTTTTAATTTATTTCCTCTTAGAATTTATAGCGAAGTTCAGCATCAGCTGAAAATAACACAACTATGAACCATCCAAGCAGCAAATTATTAGACGTTTTTGTGAAATCCTCCGGGTGGGTGTACAGTGGGGTTGGGAGTGTTTTCATTTAGATCTTCCCGGCTCAACTGCTCTGTCTTCCATTCACATTATCCCTGGCTTGCATAAGGCTGGGAACAGCTCTAAGAATGTGTAGAATGTAAACAGCCTTTTATTGTCCAGGAGGATGGCAGCTCAGGCCTGCCTGCTTATCACAGGGTTGCAGCTCCCATACTCACTTTCCATGATAAAGTGCTCCAGGAAAAAAAAAATTACAATCCCAGGACAATCCAAAAACCCCGATTAGAATTTGGCAAACGCTTCCTTAAAAACTGATCAGTCAACACATGCTGTAATATTAGAATCCCTCCCCTATTTATTTCCAGGTGGAGGAGGGGAAAATCCAACATTCCCAGTACTGGGGCTGATAGAACTCTCCTTCACAGCATCCCTAAACGCATTTCCTCACCTTTCAGGACCTACTGTGGTGCTTATGAAACAAATGAACAGTCTAGGATCACTGCATTTAAAATCAACCAGATAAAATTCATGAGGCTGAGAGACTCCTTGAAACCGATTTCCTTACGCGTTTCCTTTGAACATCGCACAAGTGCTGATTTCTTGGATCACTTATTGGAATTCGGATCAATTTTTTTTAAAGCAGGTGATACTAAAGATCATAGACATGCATCTTAGACACCTAAAAACTTAATTGCAGTCCATTTTATGGTACCCCATTGAATACAACAAGCTTGTGCTGGCTCACTCAAGGACAGTCACCCATACCGCATTTCTTCATGATGCCGTGGACGATTTTCTTATTAAATGCTGTGCAGGTGAATTATGTCTCTGCTTAAACCTCTTTTCCTTTGGAGTTCATCCAGCCCTCAACACTTGCAAAGTGCCTGACACTACAATATCTTGCCTTTTATAATTTTTTTTGTCATAAGTTACTTAGTCATTCCTCTAAAAGGACAAGGGAAGAGGAGTGGTCTTTATTCTGCAAGCATTAGGAAAGTGTCGCCCTTGTTTTTAACAACCCAAGGTGTAAGCAGATACAACTTAATGTGTCAGGACCAAAGAAGACCTGGTATCAAGGAAAAGTCAGGAGAATTCTGGCAGAGGCAGAATAAACCAGAAACCCATGTCTACAATTGTGGTCAAGTTACTTTTTAAAGGTTTTGTTTGGGTCTACCTTAAATACAATTAACTAGGAAAGCATAATGGGAAGGAGAGCAAACTATTCTTCAGGAAACCCAGAGAGCCACTGAGGGCATCAATGACAGCCAGACTATCTCTAGCACTTCCACAACGATCTTTTCCATCCTATATCTTGCTCTGCAATCACAGTGTTTCAGGCTGTGAGATCTGGGACCGCGGATCCGATTACTAACTGCACGGAGTTGGGCATCAAAGTTATGTTTTACATCTCTAGCTGATAGAAACCTCATTTCAGTCCCGAAGGCCAGAGTGAAATCCAAACCGTCCCTAAAATCAGTTTATATCTAAAATTCACCGCTGTTTTGCAAGAAACGTTCGCGGGCACCTGTGCAAAACAGAGCCGCTAAGCCTGTCCCAGGGGCTGCAGGAAGGTCTTTCAACCCCTGGTCTACACCGAGCGCCTAGCAGGGCGTTTCTTTTTAGCTCGCACTTCTGTTTTAGATACTTCCTTCCTACTTACTCAAACAATACATCGCAATCCTCACTAAGCCCTTTAACTCGCCCCCAGGTGCTGCTCTCAAAGTGTCCTTCTTGCCCATCAACAGTAAGGGCAATCTAAACTCCTATCACGACCTGAGCTTCTAGCCGAGTTCTGGCGCAACTCCGCTCCCAAGTCCCTCACAGAAGAGGATTTCCCGCCGAAACGCATCCCGGCGCATGGACAGCACCTCAGGCCGGGCACTCACCAGCTGCAGCAAACCGGGGACTACGACAAGGGGCAGCGGCCTCAGGTGCATGGTGCCAGCTGGCGCGATCTCAGGAGCTGCACGTCCTCGCCAGCCTCTCACACATCTCCACTTCGGGTAGAGAGCCCAGGACGCCCGGGACCCAGGGGTCGGTGGGCGGAGAGGCCAGCAGGAGGGGCGGGCGAGAGGAGGGGTCCGCGCGCGCCCAGTGCCTCTTTGGAGTGACAAGAAGGCGCGCTGACCTGCCGGGTTCCGGTACACTCTCTTAGGCTGCGCTGTGCTTCTGATATGAGAGGCTGGGGGGCTGACGGTTTGGAGTCCAGGGAGACTATAATCACTACTGCACTGGACGTGGGACAGCCAGAGGCTGTCGCCCAGGAGCTGGGCTCAGAGTTCTGCACAGATGGGAGCGTGCTCCGCCCCTACAGAGGCTGTTAGTGGTACCTATTGCCCAGCGGGCGCAGCGTGGCTCTGGCGCATGGCTAGGGAGGCAGAAGGGTTCTCCCTGGATTGATGCAAGAAAAATGCTCAGTGACAATCCTCAGGAAATAGGTGGGGAAGGTTATTCAGGGTTCCGGGAAGATGCGAGGGTGCCGGGATGAGGGATGGTGTCTAATGAAAGGGAAGTGGGCTCAACCAAGCAAGAGCTCAGAAGAACACCTACCTATCTTGACAGGAGTTTGGCAAGAAACACCAGAGTTGCTGGGAGGGATGGAAGAATTTCTGGAGTTGGGTTCCTGTGGTACCCTCCGGGAACCTTAAACTTCCAGTGGCAGGATGATGAGGAAAGGAGCTAAGGGGTACTTCGGAATGATGTGGACACCAGGTGTTCAGGAGACCCAGAGCTGTAACATCTGCCCCTGGCTTAGGGAAAGGAGAAAGAAGAGAGGAAAGCCAGCACTCGGAGAATCATATCAGAGACGATCTTGGAGGCAGGCAAGGCTGCAAACCTCAACTCTGAGGCTCAACTTCTGTGTTAACCTGTCTCCTTTGCGGGCTCCTTAGCCCTTAGGACTGAGTGGAAAAGTTAAAGGCAATGGGTCACCAGAACAGCCACAATGCTCAATCGGTGGAAATCTAAGTACAATCCATGACGATCCATTATTGAACATATGGGAAACCTAGGATCTAGAGAGGTTAATTATTCCTGATGCTAGGGACAAATTGATCTTACAAAAGGAAACTGTCGAGGGAAGGAAGTAGATTTGCAACTACAGCCAAGCCTTAAAAAGAGAAAATACAACAAAAAGAGCAGTATGGGTTGTAGTTTGGGACAGGAAAAAAACAAAAACAAAAGCAACGAAGTTGTGTTTCTTTCTCTTAGCTTGCTGGATTCCAAAACGAAAGAAGGTGGTTTATGAATTCCTTTAGTGGTCTGAAGCCAGGCTTGGGGAGAAGCAGCCTTGGTTCAAGGTCTTTAATACTGGATGACTAATAAGAAGAGGGCAAAGTCCTGCCCATCCTCTCAGTGGAAGTGCTAAGATTGTGAATAAAAAAAGGACATTATTCCAGAGTGCTGTGCGATTCCACTGTGATTTGGAAGCATGTTGTTCCTGAAGCAATGGAGGGAGTATCTCTCCATACAGTTTCATTCATGTGTAGAGAGAGATGCAGGCAAGTATACGCCATGTATCTATCCTTCAACCATTTGCCAAGCCTGTGTGTGTGTGTGTGTGTGTGTGTGTGTGTATGAGAGAGAGAGAGAGAGAGAGAGAGAGAGAGAGAGAGAGAGAGAGAGAGAGAGAGAGAGAGAGAGAGGATTGGACCTGAGGTCTCACACGTGGTAGTCAAGCTCCCTGCCACTAAGCTGCACTGGTAGCTCTAGAAAATGATTCTGGCCTAGAAGGATAAATAAGATCATTTTAAAAATTAGAAGAGATTCCTAATGGTTAATTTCCTGACTCTGAGTTTGGGGGTAGATTTTTATTTGATTTACAGACAACTGTATAAAAGATATAAACTCCTCTTTGAAGAAATGTAACTACAATTGTAGGAGAAGAAGACATTAGCCAGATTCAGCCCCTCATTTGGAGACATTCAATTTCTACCTGAGCCTGACCAAATCACCTGCAAAATAGAAGTTTCTTCTTAACTCACTTGTAACCCTGTATCACAAATGGTTTATAAGACGAACATTTAAGACTTAAACATATGAAATAAACCATAGTTCACTCTCTTAATATATTCCTATTTCTTAGAATGTTTCTGTTCTAGGAAACTTGTAAATCAAATTTAAAAGTGGAACCTAGAGTTAGATGGATGTTTTCAAAGCATGTATTCTCACAAAAGATGTGTTGGGTTGGAAGATGAACTCCAAGCTAGCACGTATAGAACATGAGAACTGCATAGAAGAGAAGCCATAGGGTTTATAATATTGATTTCAATGTTTATTTACAGTGTATCAATTGATTGTTTTCTATATTTCACAAATTTACTTTATAAATTATGAGACAATGAAAAGCAGGGACAAATGAATGAGGTGGAGAATGTGAATGAAAAGGAAAGACAGAGAGAGAAGAAAAGGAGAGAGGTAGAAAGAATAATTTTTCACATTGTATTTGTTTCTCACAAGCCAGTACTTATATCAGGAAATATGCAGTAACTAAAGCATAGTACTTGATACAGAAAGGAAGAAGAGATGCTTAGCATAGTTGGTGGAAAGAAAGATCATTGTAACACCAGTGCTTCAGGGAAGAGATGAAATGTCAGTTTGCTTAGCTTCCAACAATGACCAAGTTTAGTCTATGCTAAGAAAGATGAAGAAGACCATTCCACATTGGGACAGGGGAGGGAAGTGTGAGCAAAAACAAAGCCAAATGACTTCAGACTGCTCAGCTGAGGAATAAACAGCAAGAGCGGAGTGGGTGGAAGAAATGTGTTGAGAAATGGCAAGAAGAAAAGTGGTCTGTAGAAATCTGGAGTGCCAAGCTAAACAGTTTAGATGTGATCTTCAGGGAGGCTCAAAACAATGTCAGCGGGCATAAAAATTTATACTGTGGCAACATGCAGAGTGCCTTGAGGAGGTGGTGGTTCAGAGTCATGGAAATTGGAAACAAGGACCAGAGAAATGGGGGTGCAAGATCTTTGCTTTAGAATGGTACATTGAGCTTAATGTTTAGATTTTAATTTTTTCCTGACAAACTAGAGGATTGTTTTATCACCATTTTCTTTCTCTTAGAATTAATCTAACAATTTGAGTAGCACATCATTGATTCATCATTTTAAGAATTTTTGCCAGGTTGAGGGAAAGTGAAAACAGTATTTTTTTTTAATATCAACTAGTAGCAGAGAGCTGATCCAAACAAATTTTGCAACCATGTGATTCTACTTTGGTCTTTTGAAAATGGTAATGTGCATGGACAAGCTCAAAGCTTTGAGATCATGTTTGTCTACCTATGGCTTTTCTGGATTGTTACAGTTTTTGTATTTTTCCTCTGTACTTACTTTCTCATCATTTACTCTTCATTACTATCAATACCAAAATGTGACAGAAAAATAATATGCAAGCTGGCATTTCAGAGTTGGAATGGTTATAAGATATTATGCAACTTTCTCATTTTACATTTACAGAAATCGACTGTAAAGGTTATGTGACTTGCTTCAGGTCATCTTATGAGACGTGAGCAAGTCTGAAACTTGATTGAAGTCACTGAGATCCACAGTGAATTGCTCTTTCCTATGTATCATTCCACCTTACATATTACTCAACTCTTTGGCAGTTATAAATGTAGTGAATGATTGTGCCTCTAGCTAGTAAGAAATGTGGGGATGATCTATAGATGATAAAAGCTACAGAATCTGTATCATTATCAGGAAAAGAGATTCCACTCTACTTAGCCCGAAGCATTGATCTTGCAATAATTTTCAAGAGTTGAGAGGTCAGGAGAATGACATGACTTAGTGCTAATGTGCAGTCTCAGAGAGACGAAGCCTGGGGTTTAAGAAGAGGGTGTCACTTACTTCAAGGACTAAGAGATTTTCAAGGAGCCCCTGGCCTCTTACGTTGGGAATTAAGAAACTGGTGGGCTCTTTGGTATCATTATTAACTATAATCCTTTTAAGTCCTATTATTCTTGAGGAATCCAGTACCTGTAAGTCACATTTTAATAGATTATAATGATGTATTGTATTAAATATTAATCTTGGTTGCACAATAGAGTCATTGGGGCCTTTAAATGTCTCTGAAGGTAAGATTAAGAAATGATGCTTTTAATATCCCGTTAGAAACTTGGTTTTTACTTGCCTCCCTGGCTGCTTCCCTCTTTTCTTTCCCTTCTTTTTTTTTAATCAACTTCCGGGAAAACACTACACTGAGGCTTTAACCGAATGCCATTAGAATCTGCTTATATCCTTGCTTCTAGAGATCTTGTTAAGGAGAGAGATAGGCAAGTTATTGGATAATTGAGCATAGGTGGAGGGGTTAGCAAGTTTCATGGCATAATTGTGCCCAACTACAAATTGAAATATTCATCATAGTGAGACTACACATGCCCTCCCTTTGATGGTAATGCTCTCATCATTATCCTTTCTCCTAGATGTTAGAAGGCAGTCGAATGACTACTTTAACGGTAGATGTCAATTGTCAGCTATCAAAGAGAAGCTGTTGGTGAAGGAAGCCAGGTGCAGGCAGTCTGTGAGGTGCTGGCACAGAATGGTCAAACAGTGCAGAAGCTTCGTGGTGTGCTAACTAATGTTAGCATCATCTTTCCACGTATAATCATATGCACTGTCCATGTACAAGTATAGACAATTACTTAAGGGAGTGATAGTGATAGCCTTTTCTTCTTGTACATCAGATACTGTGTGTATTATTCCTGATGTGTTCTCTCAACACACTTCAGAAATTGCTTCCTAAGTGCAGGAAAAGCAGGGAACAGATGTCCTCAGATGCTCATGCTTCCTGCAACCTGCATCTGATTGCCTGTGTCATATTGATAAGGTAAAGTGTTGCAAATGCCCAAACATAACTGAAATGAAAGATAAAAGATGCCATAGCTAGCACAATTAAGAAGTTCAAAGGCTAAAGGTCATCTTAAGCCATTTGAGGCTATGTGCACATGAGTGTAAGTCTATTAACCTAGAAAAGTCATAAAGCTGGGCCTGAAAAATTGGGAAGAAAATCCAATTCCTAGTCTTTATAAGAGTCTGTTTCTCCATCCTACCATCACAAACTAAATTTAAGAAGGAATTTGAAGTTATCTCTTTAGTTTTGTCATTTTTCAGATGCGCCTTTCTATTAACATATACTTCCCTTGCCCTAATGTACCCAGTTTTGTTTGTCTTTGATAAATCTTTGAGACTCACCCCCTGTATTCTCACATATGCTTTGATAACTGAAGTTATTCCTCATGGGAGGATGGTTCTGCATCACACGAGATTTCTTCACTGTGTTTTACCTAGAAAGGAACCTGATTGTACTCCTTATATATAAAGGTCATCATTTGTCAAAACACACCAGCAGCTACACATGGTAGTATGTTTAACTCTGGCAAGGTGCTATCTACTATCTTTTTATAATTATGAAGCAGTGTTGTTTACAATTAGGCTTTTATTTATTAAAGCAGTGCATTGTCAATCACATGTGAC